ACTGTGGGAGGAAACCGGAGTACCCGGAGAAAACCCACGCATGCACGGAGAGAACATGCAAACTCCACCCAGAAAGGCCCCTGGACCGGGGTTTGAACCAAGGACCTGCTCGCTGAGAGGCAGCAGCTCTACCAGTTGCGCCACCGTGCTGCCACAATGTGACTAGAGCTGGACTAAATGTCTTTCAGGGATTCTCCGTAAAGGCTCTCATCACCCAGTTACCCTCAGAGAGCCCGTGGAACTGTCCAACAAATTCACTGTGTTGAATGTAGGGAAAGCAGTGAGAAAAAAAAGTTTTAGAGACAATCAAGACCCCCCCCCCCACTGATTAGCATATACCGACAATGGTTTGAGGATTGGTAAATGGAACTAATGACGGGGTGCTGGAGGAAGTGAGTCTGATCAGCTGTATCAATGACGTCCAGTGGTGCTTGAAAGGTTGTGAGCTTTTATCATTTTCTATATTTCTACATAAATACGACGTAAAACATCATCAGATTTTCACAAAGTCCTAAAAGTAGATAAAGAGAACCCAGCAGCAATAACTTGAAAATGTTTCTGGTAGCTGTTGATCAGTCCTGCTCTCCTTGGAGGAACTTTAGCCCATTCCTCCAAGGAGAGCAGGACTGATGTTGGTGCTTTCCTCACATTAACTGCTGCTTCAGTTCCACAACATCTGGACTGGATGAAGGTCAGGACTTTGACTTGGCCATTCCAAAACATGAACTTTATTCTTCTTGAACCATTCTTTGGTAGAACGTCTTGTGTACTTAGGCTCATTGTTGCTGCATGAGCCACCTTCTCTTTGGATTCAGTTCATGGACAGATGTTCTGACATTTTCCTTCAGAATTCTCTGATATAATTCAGAATTCATTGTTCCATCAATGATGGCAGGAAGTCCTGGCCCAGATGCAGCAGAACAGACCCAAACCATGATACTACCGCCACCATGTTTCACAGATGGGATAAGGTTCTTCTGCAGGGAGGCTGTTTTTCTTTCTTCAAACAAAACTTTTCATTTAAACCAAATAGTTTTATTTTGGTCTCATCATCCACAAAACGTTCTTCTAACAGTCTTCTGGTTTGTCCACGTGATCTTTATCAAACTGCGGACGAGCAGCCATGTATTTTCTGGAGAGCAGTGTCTTCTCCTTCAACCTTGCCATGAACCATTGTTGTTCAGTTCTCCTGATGGTGGACTCATGAACATCAGCATTAATGTGAGAGAGACCTTCAGGTGTCAGAAGTTACTCTGGGCTCTTCTGTGACCTTGCTGACCATTCCACACCTTGGAGTGATCTTTGTTGGTCCACCACTCCTGGGGAGAGAACAATGCTCTTGAATTTCCTTCATTTGTCTACAGTCTGTGTGACTGTGGATTGGTGGAGTCCAAACTCTTTCCAGATGTTCTGTGACCTTCTCCAGCCTGATGAGCATCATCAACTCTTTTTCTGAGCTCCTCAGAAATCTTCTTTGTTCCACCAACATGTTGTGAAGAGCAGACGCTGATAGATCCTGTTCTTTAAATCAAACAGGTGATCACTCACACCTGATCATCATCATTGATTGAAAACACCTGACTCTAATTTCACCTTCAGATTAATGATAATCCCAGAGGTTCACATACTTTTACCACTAATCTGTAAATTAGATCAGCTTCCTCAATACATAAATGACCATGTTTAATATTTTAGTCTCATCTGTTTAACTGGGTTCTCTTCTTCTACTTTCAGGACTTGGGTGAAAATCTGAAGATGTTTTAGATCATATTTATGAAGAATTATAGAAAATTTTAAAGGCTTCACAATCTTTGTGCAACTTTATAACCTAAATAACTTAAATTATCTGATAATCTTCCAGGTGCCACAACAAACTGCAGATGTCTTCTTGCATGCATTGAACCAACAGCTGATTAGGGACAATGTCAAACTGTTTTGGGTCATCGGTGTATTTAAGGACAACTTGTAATCAAGCGGTGCAGCTTACCTGTCCACTGTGTGCGTAGTCATCAACAGTCAGTGACAGGTCCAACCTCAACGACAGACCAAAGTCACACAGTGCACACTCCTTTTTGTTCTTTACCAGAATATTGCTGCACTTTAGGTCTCGGTGAGTAACTGGCAGCTGCAGCAACACAAGAAAGAAATCACTGCAAAAATTAAAAACAAAAAATGTTTGATTTTCAAATCAGCCTATTAAACAGTATAAGAAAGGCTTTGATTGACAGGCAGGCAAAGAACACGCTGACCCATCACATACGATCTATTGTTCAACTGTCCCTATTAAAGTATATTTGATAGATTTCATTTCTGTGTTTTACTTTTGACAAATTTGAGTTTAAATTGAGCAACCTTTAACATAAATTTATTTCACCCAATAATACTGTTACTAGGGCAGCATGGTGGTGCAACTGGTAGAGCTGCTGCCTCTCAGCGAGCAGGCTGCCGGGGGCTTTCTGGGTAGAGTTTGCATGTTCTCTCCGTGCATGCGTGGGTTTTCTCCGGGTACTCCGGTTTCCTCCCACAGACCAAAAACATGCATGTTAGACTGACTGGTGACTCTGAATTGTCCCTAGGTGAGAGAGAGTGAATGGTTGTTTGTCTCCAGGTGTCCCTGTGATGGACTGTGATGGCCTAACATGCTGGCTCTCAGTCAGTCACTACCTTGATTATATTTTATATTTCTTACATCTATTTCATGACAGATATTTGATTTAAAATAGTAAACATGTACAGGTACATTGATACCTAGTTTCCATTAGACTTTACTGGAAACTAGCCATACCAGAAAGCTGCCATCATGGTGTATAACCAGCGTTACCTTTTCACAGTGTGGAGTTATTGTTTGTTTTTTCAGGCTTAAAAAATATTGCCATCAACTGTGGCTTCTTCAAATGCTTATGGACTTTAGTGATACATTAATGCTTGATTTGGGTCCAGGGTGAGGTTCTGCCTCAAGTGGAGGAGTTCAAGTATCTCAGGGTTTTGTTCATGAGTGAGGGAAGAATGGAGCGTGTGACTGACAGATGGATTGGTGCAGAGTCTGCAGTATTGCGGACTCTGTGCCGGTCCGTTGTGGTGAAGAGGGAGATGAGCTGTATGGTAAAGCTCTCTGTTTATCAGTCGGTCTACGTTCCTACCCTCACCTATGGTCACGAGCTCTGGGTGGTGACCGAAAGAATGAGATCGTGGATACAGGAGGTTGAAATGAGTTTCCTCCGCAGGGTAGCTGGACTCTCACTTAGACATAGGGTGAGAAACTGAGTTATCAGAAGAGACTTGGAGTAGAACCGCCGCTCCTCGACATCGAGAGGAGCCAGTTGAGGTGGTTTGGGCATCTGGTAAGGATGGTAAGTATGCTTCCCGGGTGCCTCCTTCAGGCATGTTGGACTGGGAGGAGACCCTGAGAATGACCAGAGAGACTACGTCTCTTGGTTGGTCTGGGAATGTCTTAGAGTCCTCCCAGAAGAGCTGGAAGAGTGGCTGTGGAAAGAGATGTCTGGACCTTCCTGCTCCAGCTGCTGCCCCTGCAACCCAACTTCAGAACAAGCGGAAGACAATGGATGGACATTAGAGAGTGTGTCGTTGAAAAGTTATGAAGAAGATTATCACCATTATTGGGGTTGATCCACATGAGGCGTACAAAGTCAAACTGTGTTGTCGGACTCGCTCCCTGCGGTTACGTACGCTGACATTGGAATTATTCAATTCAAAGGAAAAGTGCACACACTATGCAGGAATTATGTGAATTAAAATATTTCGACACTTTCAACCTAAGCAGTAATGAAAGATGTAATGTTTCTGACAACAAAGTTCTGATAATAGGCACGGTAAGTAAACAGCTTTTGTTCTTTGTCCATAAATTTAAATTAAATATGTGCCTTTAGATGTAAAAATGTGGGCTTTAGTTCTTGTCTAAATGCGCACATTGCACTCAAAGCTAAAAGCACGATGTTCTCTTTAAGATCAACATGGAAATGCATGATTCAAACCGAACATGATCCTAGCTTCACAAACCAAGTGCTGTTTGCAACCACGTGTGCGCTAACAAAGTGTCTGGAGTCAATTCTAGGAGTAAAGAAGGCTTGTCTTTCTTGTTGGTGATACTGGTGAGCCACTCAAACTGCAAAGTTTGTGCATTGATCCAAAGACAAGCTTTCAAGTTTGAAACGGACCTGGATCCTGCATGTTATCATTGTACAAACTCCAGCTGCACTCCTGCATACATTCTGGACCTGTCCCAAACTGTGGACCTACTGGCAATCTGGTTTTGACACCATCTCTGGGATGTGTGGAAAAACTGTGCCTGTGGATACGTCCTGTAGAAAGTATGCGAAGGATGTGATTGATTTTGGCTCTCCTCTGGCCAGGAGACTTGTTTTGTGCAGATGGAAGGACCTGCACACCCCGGCACATGAACACTGGATAAGAGAAGTCCTGTATCATATCCATCTGGAAAACATTACATACACAGTACCCTGAAAGGTTCTGTGGAGAGATTTTGGGACACTTGGCAGCCTTATGTGGAAAACATGTCAATACCTGTCTAAGATGTTCATGTCTGTGTGGCTGATCTGGGGTGGGAGGGGATTTTGTTGGATGTTTTTTATTTATTTATCTTTTTTGTGTTTGTTTTCTAAAAGACAAAAAATACAACTAAAAAAACTTTGATTACAAAAAATGCAAAGTTTTTTTGCCTTCATGCTTTCTTAATTTCAAGATATGATGAAAACTTCATTTTACTGGTTTATCTGCTTGGTTTTACACCATTTAAGCAGTACACAACCATTATCAGTTTCTCACGTGCATTCTCTAAAGTTGAAAGTTGCTTTCATTTTTCTTATTCTACTGGAGTGGCAAGAAGATGTAAGAAGTCAGTTGGGAACTTTGTGTTAGGGCTATTATTCAGTCAAAGTATTGTTTTCTAGCTGTGGTCCTCAGGGACTCGGTTGTTCATGGGTCCCTGCTCCATCACACCTGATTCAAAGGAATGGATCCGCTCAGTACATACCATTCACTTTAGATGTGATGAATGAGGGAACCCTTTTGAAATGTGCTTGGAAACACAGACTTAAGCTGAGGACACACTGTACAATTTTTGCAAGATTTTACCCACAAACCCCAGTTGGGCAAAGTCTGCACCAGGCTGCACTAGCTGGGGAAAGTCAGCATGGCTAATAGGCATTCAAATCTGTTGACCAATGACCTGCAGGTGTGTGGTAGGGAATTTTTGGTCAAAGGTTATGAACGTTTTTAACTACTATGTCTGAGAATGTTAACTCTGCCCATGAACCATGTGTTTGGGTTAGAAGAAAGCTGGATGAGGAGCTGAGTGAGGCTGCAGCACGCAGCTGACTCCAAGGACGCCTCCAGGTTCTGTGAACTCGGCTGAACTGATGAGAGTATAAAAACAAGCTTTACAGACAGCTCATGGCCGATTCTTATGGCTGGTCTACATGTGTGTACTTTCTGTATATTTATGTAACCTATCCTGAAAATCTGACGTTGCAAGAATAAAAACTTCCTCCTGTCATCGAGTGTGGTTCCTTTGGAGTGAGTGACATAAGCGAGAATATTTTTCTCCAACAGTGTGAGGGGAACAGACCCAAGCTGACCTCACGTTGCATTCAGTCCAACATGGCTGAACACTGAAGGCAAACCGAGCAGCCTGGTAGTGTGAACCAACCCAACTGCAAACACGTGGCGCCAACAGACAATTAAAAAAAGTGGTAGGACACAGGAAATAGTAGGCAATTGTTGTCTATGTTTGTTTGAACTTAATGTTTGAAAGCTTGTGCTGGTTCAAACATAAAATACTTAATCTGGCCAAGTCCAGTGAAGATCTGGGCACACGGACAATAGCACCAAATTCATGTTTCACAGATCAGTCACAGGTGGGCAGACTACAGCAGGTGAGGTAACACAGAAGGTGCAGCCATGGACGCTAACATGGACTGAAACATCTGTTGACTAATTGACACAAACAGACAGACAGACAGACAGACAGACAGACAGACAGACAGACAGATAGACAACAGACCAGTTGATTACCAAAATAAACATTAGTTGCAGCCCTATGTGAGACTACTTTCTTTTAATTATTATTATTTAAGGTGCCAATGCACTTAAGAACCCTAAATACTATTTGTCTAGTATGCTTTCATTTCATTATTATCCATGATTTTCCATCATGACCTGCCTTTTCTATAATTTTAGGAATAACATTTGCATCAACATGTGCTGCTTTATTTGAAATATTGTGTTATGGTTCATGGTTCTTTGTACTAGACAACTAAAAATATATTCAGCATTTCAACATCGAAAATAAAATCATTCTGTATGTTTTTAAATCACTGAACAGTTCTGTCCCCTCTTATCTCACTGATCTGCTGCAGCCATATGTCCCACTGCGCTCTCTGAAGTCAGCAGACCAGATGCTACTAGTGGTTCCAGGAACCCGTCTCAAACTCAGAGGTGACAGAACCTTCTCTGTTGCAGGTCCACGACTGTGGAATGAGTTACCACTGCATGTCAGGCAGGCTCCCTCTCTCACCGTCTTGTTTAAAAACTCACTTTGTTCTCTGGCTTTTGACACTGTGTGACTTGTTTATAATCCTGTCTGTATTGTACAGTGTTAGACTTGTAGTTATTATCTTTTTCCATTTGGATCTATGTTTTTATCCGGTGTCCTTTGCGTGTTTGTTTTTGCTGTACAGAACTTTGGTTGGCCTTGTTGCTGCTTGAAGTGCTTTATGAATAAAGTGGTATGCTATGGTATCTGAAACAAAGGGTTTTTAACAAAACTACTTCAGAGTAAAAACATCCTCCAAAGTTTGAACAGGAATTTGAAATTGATGTGACTATACTAGAATAAACTGGCAGATTTGGACCAGTTTTTTCATTTTTCATTTTTATCATTTAAATATCATTAACGTAGATTTTAGACATGGACCTTTGAAGCTTTAGTCTTGAAAGTTTTCTGTTTGAACAAATGTTTTGATGCAGGTGTCAAATACAGCTCGAAAACTCTAAAACTTAAATAAACTAAACTGAGATGGGTTTGATGTTTTTGAGATGTGATACAACTTTGCAACTATAGTTAGAGAAAATGTGTGGAACAAAAATTTTGACACTGCTCAAACTTCATGCGACAAGACTATAAGCATCAGCAACTCAAATGTGGAACTCTTGCAAATAATTTGAGACTCATTTGTAAGTGCTATTTGCCAGCAACTCACCATCATAACCCGGTGAGCTCCAACCTTTTCTTGTTGCTATGATTAGCAGTTACACATTTTATTTGATGGCTGACGTAATTTACCTTTGGTTCTCCGCTGCATGTTGTGTCACAGTGCAGGTGAGCTAATCCTCTTGCTATGCTTCCTGCCATGTAAACTAGCTCCTCCCAGCTCAGTACGTTCGCTGTGAGGTAGTCTTGCAAATTTCCCAGACTGTAATAGGCTAACACCAGCCAGTAGGTCTTTCCAGGTGGGCCCCTCTCTTCAGCTGCCAGGAACTGAATGATGTTGTCATGTTGCAGTGTAGCTTCAGAGAAGATGGAGCACTCGTTTCTCCAGGAGGCATACTCCATGGCTGGAAACACTTTCACGGCCACAGTTTCGTAGCTGTCAACTCCGCTGTTCTGGCCCTGCAGCAGGCGTGCCCTCCACACTTCAGCAAAGCGCCCTTTCCCCACTAACATATCCAGTTTGATTGGCAGCAGTTCAGCCACTTGGCCTGAATGTTCAACTCTGGGACCAGTTACACCTCCTCCTCCACCCTTAGCCCTACAGCCTGCTCCCTCATGTGGCAAGTCCAAAGCTTGGTAGAGTTCTGGGGAGTGTTTAGTGGGCCACTCAGGAGGTGCAGGATGACTTGATTTATTGGGGCAGCGTATTCGGTAGAAGTAGAAGACAACGGTAGCAGCTATGGCCACCAGGATAGGAGGCACCAAACTGATCACCACCACTGGAATGACATCCTTACTCTGTAACCTGGAGAAACCTGAAGAATGAAAACACACAAATCAGTGGTTACTAAACCAATTGCCAAATCATGTTTCCTGTATTGAGTATTTGTCTCTGATACATAGAACCCTTCCATTGTTCCCATTTTTTAATCTACCCATTTATTCAGCAGCACTTTTAACATTCCCACCATCACCATCATCCATGCTCCCTCCCTAATGTACTCATTCAACAAGCTCAACTTCTGCTCACCATTGGCTCCGTTGTCAAAGATGAGTTTGTCATTACATTCATGTTCCCCCTGGCAGCCACAGACCATCATGGCTCCTTCCTCAACCACCTGTGGGACCATATGACATTCTCTGGAGGTGAAGTTCAGCAGCAGGTTGGGGTCAACACTGTCTAGTGGCAGAAGTGGGTTGTGACACATTGTGTGTACTGTCATGCTGTTGTTGGTCTTCCTCCTGGAAGGGCAGAGATAACATTTCCACAATAACTTCAAGAGTTGAATTTATTTTTAGTTACAAATCAATTTTATTCAGTGTGAAAGTATTCATAGAGAAAAGGGGGCTAAAGGGTGAGCAGTTTTAATGTAAACCGATAATACACGCAAGTTGGGAAAAGCCACTGAAAAGGAGAATTTTTTTTTTTTTTATATATATACAGTAGCTACAAGTCACAACAGAAGTCATCTCAGGACACTGAACAGAAACATTCATATATAAAAATAATAAGTTAACAGAAACTTTCATATATAACAATAATAAGTTAACAGAAACATTCATATATAACAATAATAAGTTAACAGAAACATTCATGTATAACAATAATAAGTTAACAGAAACATTCAT